GACAATTTAATAGATTCTGTAGCAAATGTTATTATTGTACTCATTCCAAATACAGATGCCCTTTATTAAAAAATATTTTTAACACGTTAAAGATTTTTGAAGAGAAGGACAAGGCCCCCCCAAACATATGCTCCTCCTCCAAAGGTGGAGGGATATCAATCCTCAGAATCATTCAAATGCTTTATTATATCTCTGGAGATATGAACTACAAGTTGAGATTCATTATATTGTGAGCCACTGTTAATGACAACATTATATTTTATTTATATGTTTTCTTGAAATTGAATCATAAAGGCTGAACAGCCACTGCTTTACAGTTCAAAGCACTTATACAACATAGTGAACTTATCATGAATTTATACATGATCTCGTTCATTGAATCCTCACAGTAACACTTTGAGGTAGATCTACAGAAAAGAAAACATTCGAGAAGTATAAAAGCTAAGCAACTCTTCTAAATTAAGGTAGCTAATACATGGCAGAACTAGGGATCTAAATTCTTTTTTTTCATTAGGCATCAGTCTTCTTTCCACTGAACTGTGTCTGTGATGGGCCACGGATTTACTGACCTTGTCAAACCTCACCGTATCTATATTTTTTCTTTTGACATCACCAGGCTCTGAAAATGTTCCTGCTCCTCCTTAGTAAACAATGGGAAGCCAACATGTCTCCCCAGCTACCACACACACACACACACACACACACACACACACAACATCTAGGAGAGTAAATACTTTCTGGTGTTTACAACTATATTCTTGCTGCAAAGAACAGTGCCTAGCACAGAGTAGGTTCCCAGTAAATGTCTGATGAATGAAAGAATGAAAGAACTCAGTGGCAAGAATTAAATACCATTCATTTGTCTTATGTAAGGACTTAAGTGATACTAGCAAATAGCAATCTCCCTAAACAACCTTGTAAAGCTACTTAATCATCTACCCGTTCCTCTTTTGCCCATTTTCTAAACATTAGAATCTCTGTTTACCTTTATAGCACTTGCGCCCTGGAAGAAGCTGTACACCGTGCTCTAAAAGGTACCAGACCAAAGATAATAGCTACACATAATCTAAATTATTTCTAAGAAAGTCCTGGCTGTCACGCATCACAGAAAGAATCAAACTGAAGATATCTGGGTGGAGGCTCATTTAGAGTTTCCAATTTTTTAGTCATATAAAATCAAGTCCAAGTTCCTAGTAATAAAGGAAAGTAATAAGAATGGATGAGCTGATGGACCAACATGATGGGCTAAAGGGCAAACATCCTGTTCTTGTGCCCAATAGCCCCATGCTCCTGTTCTTCCTGAAATCTGAGACTTGTATACCAGGGACTCCAAATTCTCCTCTCCACTGGATATACGAGGCATAAAAGAGCAGTAGAAAAAAGAGATGAAAATGGCACTTAATGTGACTTACAAGGAGGAAGTTTGATCCTTTTACCATCTGTCTCTATAGGATCTTTAGCCCAAATTTGCCTTTGACATCCCACCATAAGCCAGGGTCAGGGATCTCCTCCCATGATCTGAAAACCTCTTTGTTCTTAGCCAGGTAAACTCAGAATAAATGACATAAAGCTGAACATGCCTCTGTCTTCTGCAAAAATGTCTTCCAAGACACTAATAGCTACATTGTTTTCTTCTATGTAGAAACTTAAATGTCCTTGGAGCCCTTGGGACTGAGTTCCTGAATGAGTCCTATTCAAGGAGGTTGTTGAGCAGAGGGAGTAATTAGAAGTGAGTGAATGATCTAGTTGAAACAGGATTGGTAATGTTTCCCCTGCAGCATTACTGTGATATGAAGAAGATGGAGCCAAACCTATACTTTCTTTTTTTCAGATTGGCCTGGGGATGTGAGGGAAAAAAAGTGCAGGGTATAGCTCAATCCTAGGACATATATAGAAACCATTTGCTGAGTTTCAGGATATATCACTGGAATGAGAAAAAACAGCCTTATAAATCAGACTTCTAAAAATATCCAATTTCAAATGCTTTGATCTCAGTTTTTCCATAGGTCTTGCTATGGACCGAATTGTATCCCCCCGAAATTCATATATTGAAATGCTAACACATTCATCCATGTGGCTGTATTGGAGCTAGGGCCTTTAGGGAAGTGATTAAGGTTAAATGAGACCATAAGTATGGGGCTCTGATCCAGTAAAACTGGTGTCCTTATAAAATAAGAAGAGACATAAAATTTCTGTCTGTCTGTCTGTCTCTCTCTCTCTCTCTCTCTCCCCCTCTCTCTCTCCCCCTCTCTCTCCCCGTCTATCCGTCCCTCTCCCTCCCTCTTCCCCTCTCTTCCCCTGCCTCTCCCCCTCCCCCTCCTTCTTTTCCCACCATGTGAGGACACAGAGAGAAGGCAGCCATCTGCAAGCTCCAAAAATTGAACCATGCTGCAAACCCTGTTGGAACTATGAGAAAATAAATTCCTGTGTTTATGCCACCTAGCCTGGTATTTTGTTATGACACCCCTAGTGAACTAAATTCTTCTTCTTCTTTTCAGACTATATTTTCTATTAACAATATTTTAATTTGGAAATAGTTTCCATTACAAGACTCCTCAACAAACAGTTTTGTCAGTTGGCAAAGTTGACTTCCCTGAAATAGGAATTGTTCTCCACATGATTTTTTCAGAATTATGTCAAAGCATTATTCAACAAATATTAATTAAGGACCTATACAACCATAAACAAGACAAGTTTCCTGACTTTGGACTTTCTGTTCTGGGAAGAAAGTCAAGAACCTTGCCCCTTCAGATTCCAGATGTTTATAATCTGGAAATGGTTCCTCTTTTATATAATACACATAATTCTCTTCCAGAGAATTAGAAATGGCAGAAAGAGGAGCTCTAATCTACTGAGTCCTTGGAAAATTCTGGGTGGTTTGGCATTGCAAAGTTGTGTTGGGTTTACTTTTATAGGGAAATGGGAGAGAAGTTAGCCCAATACAGTTAGAATAAAAGGCTATATATCCATATCTATCCCTCTATCTGTATCTATCTATCAAGTTATCTATCAATATCTATCTGCCTATCCATCCATCCATCCATCCATCCATCCATCCATCTATCCTGTTGAAGCAAGGCCAACTCTAGTTGCCAGTACCACCCTAATAACCCAGTGAGTGCAGTTAGTTACATAAGAACTAGGCAGGTCCCCAGCATAGTGATGCTGGTAGTTTGGTTTCTACTAGAGAGCTATCACCGCCAACAGAGTTTGCTTCTCTGTGAAGATAAGAGTGCATAACACTTCATGTCTTCTGGCATTATTCTGTTGCCCTCTCAGCCCTTTAACATGGCCTGACACCACCACCAAATTAGCCATAACTCATATGCATATATGTGCCTACGACACATTTTGACTTTTATTGCAGAGCTGTCAGACTAAAGGCAGCAGGAAGAGATTCACTCTGAATAGGAACCCCTCACCTAAGACAAGATAATCTTATCTTGTGACAGAGTTTGGTAGTACTTTTCAATAGAATGTTCAGAGGGTCCTACCCCAGCCCTTATGGTGGTTTATGAATGGAACACTCATGGAATGACTGATACTGGGAGAGGAAAGCTGAGTGACCTCTGAGGTGGTGATACTGAATTCTGTAACTTCTTGGGTGAAAGAGCTTATATTTATGAGCAAGAGTAGTGGTCATTTACCTTCATACGTAAGAAAATTGGCCACAAGCCATCTTGGTTACAGGACTAGAGGAATGAGTGCATTTCTATCATTGGCATGGATCGCAGGCAGATGGGCCTGCAGCAAGGGGCAGTTCTCCTTGTGTGTACTTGGGCTACAGTGGAGGTCTCCTTAGGGCATGTTCACTGTCCATCACTTCGCTGCCTATTCCTGATCAGTAATCCAACTCGTGTCCTGGGGGAACCCAGCCCACGTCAGAGTCCACTCTTAAGCCACTATTAACATAGTGGTGAAAAGTGTTTTAAACTTCAGCTAGGCTTTATGAAAGGGGTCAGAAAATTATGGCCTGTGG